TACGTTTTGTAGTTTAGCCACAGATCAGGAAGGAACACAAAAAAATCGTTGGCTTCAACACATTTTCACCCATTTTTTTCCACGAAACTTATTATTTATTATCAAAATTTTAAGATTTTGACACGAACACTTCATTTTATACAAATGAATTTAAATTATATGCAATATGTTCATATTTCGCGAGTTATAACCTTGCAAACCCCAGTTTCAAGGAATTTAAAAGATTTTTGTAATTTCCCATAGGTTTCAAAATATGATTTGGCAAAAAACTTTATACTCACCTGTGCTTACTGGCCGACCTTATATTGGCCTTGGTCATAATAGCAATTTGTTGTTTTTTTTAACCTCATCTAGATAAAAATTTTAAATATATTTAGAAATAAAGAACAAAAATGAAAGGCATAGCGGTAGGCCATTGAGATGAGATATCTATAAGAAGACCATGAAATCGACAACAAGACTTTGGAAACGAAAAAAAGATTTGGTTCGATGACACCTTTTTCTTCTTTATATAATATTGCTTTTCAAATTTCATGTGAGGACATACAAACACTACAAAAAAAAAAAAAAATAGTCCAAATCTTGTTATATCTCCATACAACCTATGCGACCAATATTATTACATTCAAGGCGCACTTTTGATGTATCTTGCTATTCCAAAATCATTTATTTATACAAACATTTACAATTTTGAAAATTTTCAAAAAAAATATTTTTCATTTATAAGAATACTTACAGCCTGTTTTGTAAAATTCCAAACGAACGAATTCGAGTGACTTACGACTAAACCTTTATTTATGTTTATAAATGTTTTCTGAATCAAAACAAAAATAAATGACATATTTTTCAAGACCAAGGAGTTTGGTCGTTAATTTGCTTCGAGTTTTGTATTTCGCTTTGTTAACAATTTTGACATATCAAGGCCTATATAAAGGGCCCCCAGCAAACTAAAGACGTAAAATGAATTATATATGATTGAGTACGTTTGTGGACATATTTAGATCGTATTTCTGCAAGAATCACAGCGAAAGACCTATTGGTCTCGAAGATATCGGCTGAAATATATAACAACCCAAAAATGTTTATCACAAAAAAGTATTTTGCTTTTTATTATTATTTTAGAAAAAAAATTTATATAGGACACGTTTGTCGTTACCCATTGCGGGTAACGACATACTATAAGTGATTTGGCAACGATTCTAATAAACCACGGCATATTTTCGCGAGTATTTTCTTATATTTACGTTCAATACATTCTCCAGCAATATTTCATTTAATATTTGGTAATTTCTCGTCCTAATCTCAAAATCAGAGAATTAAATATAGTCGTCGCGGCTTCAAAACATTCCAAATATGTTAAGAATAATAAAAAGGAGGTTTTACAAAATATATTGCGAGGACAGGACCTTAAAAAATATTAAAACCAAAGTCCGACAAACAAATGATCTAAAAAAATATCGCGAAACCCCATTTTTCTAACTTCGAAAACTTTATAGTTCATTTTTACTGATCTAGGAACCAAAATATACGATGAAAATAGCAATAAGGTGGTCAGATTCAAATATATGGACGGTTTTCTGGCAATAGAAATACATCTTATTTCGAAAATGAATACATCGACCCGTTTATTCCCTACTGCATTTTATTCGCAACTGATGGTGTTAATCGGAGATAAAATATAGAATGCGTATTCGCCACCAGCAACCACAGTTTTTCAAAAGACAATAGGATTTGACGAATAATGATGTTTTCTCCCAACTTCATGTATTGTTGTTTATTACTATTGTTTTAGAACTGTCCATATCTTTGAATCTGACCCCCTTATTGGTATTTCTATTGCATATATTGGTTCCTAGATCAATATTACTGGACCATACAAATTTCGAAGTCAGAAAAATTGGGTTTCGCGAATTTTTTTAAATAATTTGTTTGTCGGATTTTGGTTTTTATAGTTTTTAAGGTTCTGTCCTCGCGTTATATTTGGCAAAACCTCTTCTTTATTATTCTAAACACATTTGGGATGTTTTGAAGCCGCAATGACTATGTTTAATACTCTCATCTTAAGATTAGGACGAGAAAATACCAAATATTAAATGAAATACTGATGGAGAGTGTATTGAATGTAAATGTGAGAAAATACCCACGAAAAAATGCCGTGATGTAATGGAATCGTGGTCAAATCGCTTATAGTATGTGGTTAACCGCAATTGTAACTATAACCAGTAAGGAAAGTAGTAAAGTCGGACGGTGCCGACTATATGATACTCTTCACCACTATGGGTATATTAAACAGGATTATTAACATGAAATTGAATGAAATAAAATATGTGATATTTATGTAAATGTGCATCTACCTAGATCTGTCCATAAAGTATGTAAATCGAGTTCAAGCAAATATAAATAGGTCATCCGTTGGGCTATGTCTGTAATTCTAGAAAACGCAACTGCGTAATTCTATGCTCAATTTTGTAAGTTGTGCAAAAATTGATGTCAAACTGACTAACAATTTACTTGAAATCGGGCGAAAATATATATGGAAGCTCTATCCAAATATTAAGCGATTTCAAAAAAACTTGTCACAGGTTAGGTTATACTAATTTCAGAACGTTTTGTTCCTATCAGCATATTGGTTCCTTGGTGCGTCAATTACTTAAAGTAAATCTATATTAAAAGGGAGCTATATCTAAATCTGGACCGATTTTCACGAAACAAGGCAGACATAACTCTAGGCTCAATTCAGTACGTTATGCCAAATTTCGTGCAAATCGAAAGATATATAGCGACTTGGTGTACCATTTACATGAAATCGGACGAAACTATATATGGGAGCTATATAGAAATCTGGACCGATTTTCTCGAAACTTGGCAGACATCACTCTAGGCTCAATTCAGTACGTTATGCCAAATTTCGTGCAAATCGAAGGATATATAGGGACTTTAGTGCACCAATTATATGAAATCGGACGAAACTATATATGGGAGCTATATCTAAATCAGAACCGATTTTCACGAAACTTGGCAGACATCATTCTAGGCTCAATTCAGTACGTTACGCCAAATTTCGTGCAAATCGAAAGATATATAGGGACTTTGGGGCACCATTTACATGAAATCGGACGAAACTATATATAGGAGCTATATCTAAATCTGGACCGATTTTCTCGAAACTTGACAGACATCACTCTAGGCTTAATTCAGTACGTTATGCCAAATTTCGTGCAAATCGAAAGATATATAGGCACTTTGGGGCACCATTTACATGAAATCGGACGAAACTATATATGGGAGCTATATCTAAATCTGGACCAATTTTCTCGAAACTTGGCAGACATCACTCTAGGCTCAATTCAGTACGTTATGCCAAATTTCGTACAAATCGAAAGATATATAGGGACTTTGGGGCACCATTTACATGAAATCGGACGAAACTATATATGGGAGCTATATCTAAATCTGGACCGATTTTCTCGAAACTTGGCATACATCATTATAGACCTAAATGATTAGGCTGTACCAAATTTCGTGCAAATCGAAAGATATATAGGGACCGTTTACATTAAATCGGTAAAATATATATATGGGAGCTATATCTAAATCTGAACCGATTTTTCCCAATTTCAATAGGGTTCGTCCTTGGGCCGAATAAGTGACCTATGCCAAATTTCATCCAATTCGGATCATAAATGCGACCTGTACTTTGTTTACAATTTAACATGCACAGACAGACAGACGGACGGACGGACATGCATAAATCGACTTAGAAAGTGATTCTATGCATATTCTCAAAAGGAACCATGTGTCTATCTCGTTTCCTTTTGCCTGTTACAAACATATGCACAAAGACATAATACCCTGTACCACAGTGTGGTGAAGGGTATAAAAAGACCAAACGTGTTCAATGTAACAATTTTTTCTAAAATTATAATAAAAAGCAAAATACTTTTTTGTGATAAACATTTTTGGGTTATTATATATTTCGGCCGATATCTTCGAGACCAATAGGTCTTTCGCTGTGATTCTTGCAGAAATACGATCTAAATATGTCCACAAATATACCATATCATACATAAGTCATTTTACATCTTTAGTTTGTTGGCTTCAGACGTATATATTGGAATTTTTTCAAATTTTTATTGAGGCAAAATACTTTTTACACTCACTGTATGTATATTTGCAATCTGGAACCCAAGTTGTACTTGCGGCAAATATGTGGAACAAATCAGCGGCTGGATTTAGAACTGATTTATGCTCACGCTTCCTTGTCGTCACTTGGGGCATTAACAAATATTCTGTCCCTATAAATTCATTATTATTGCACTTTTATTAATAAAAAAAATAATAATTGAAAACAAAAGACAATAATTGAAATCGAAAGGAAACGTTGACAAATATTTTTGACAATTTACTTTACATACAGTAAAGAAAAATTTTAAAACCATATGATTGTCACTTACACCTTATTAAATACACCTTGGCCAATTCCTGTTCATATATATGGTTTTTATTAATTTGAACAAAATAGTTTTATTTATTTTAATTCAGGTTTTATGTTTATTTATAAAATAAAGTAATTTAGATAAAAATAAATGTATGATGAATAAATGAAATGATTAAAATGATGTTTTGCCGAAGCACGTCTTTACAGTTTCGCGTCGTCGTTCGAACTAACCTTAAGTATGAGTGTGATACAAGAGCATACCAAATTTTCTCATCCTACATCTCGGCCATCCTGCAAATCATTAGGGTTGATAATCTCTTCAGAATCATCTCCAGTATCGTATTCTTTTGGCCAAGGTTTCATGAATTCGGCGCAAGTTGTAGTTAGTTTCGGCCCTTCATTACTACATGCCTTCGCAACATCGTACGTGTCCTTAGGTTTAACTTTCACAACTCTGTAGGGACCTAAGTATTTCGGCTTTAGTTTTAAACCTCCTCCAAGTTGGGTTCGTTTTATGGCTACCAGATCGTCAACGTCGTATTTGTGTGGAGATTTGCGCTTATTATTTGCGCTTATCGTAGTATTTCTTGTTTTCATTCTGCACGGCTAAAATCTGGCATTTTGCTGACTGGCGTATCTGGTCTCGCTGTTCATCGTAGCTCATAAGCATTTCTTGTTCAAGAAGCTCCTTTAATTTTTCGTCGTGTTTAGTTCTCATTCGTGTTCCAACCAGCATTTCGAAAGGTGTGTGTCCTACACTTCTTTGATGTGTTGAGTTAATTATCCTTTGAACATCTCCAACATGTTTATACCATTTACTTGGTTCGTCAACACTTAACTTTGACAAAACGGACACGATCACACTGTTGAGTCTCTCTATTTGACCGTTCGCTCGAGGTAATCCTGTTGTAATTTTAATATGAGTTATTTTCTCCTCGTCGCAGTAAGTTCTGAAATCTTCGCTAGTAAACGCTGTGCCACGATCGGAAACGATTTGATGTGGATTACCAAACGTGGTGCTTTGTAGTTCTAATCTCGATATTGCATCTTTAGCGGACGTCGTCTTTGTGAGGTACAGCCAACAGAATTTCGTAAAAGCATCAATCACGGCAAATATATGGTTATAATTCTTGTTCGTAGTCACCAATGGTCCAAGATAGTCAATGTGGTAAGTATGCAGAGGTATATCTCCTTTCGGTAGGGGATTTAATTCTCCTTCCTGTTTTCCACGCTTTCGATTTGTTATTACGCAAGCAACACAATTCATTATAAGTCTGTGAATTTTATCTTCCAGTTTCGGGATGTAGTATTCTTTATCTATCAACTCTTTAGTCTTCTTTATGGAAAAGTGTCCTCTTACGTGAGCCCTTTTTATTATCTCGTTTTGCATCCCTTTTGGAACAACTAGGAGTTCACAGTCGTTTTCAATTTTGTAAAGGATACCACTTTTGGCAAAATAACCCTTATAATCCGGCTTTTCCTCCAAGATATCTCGAATTGTGACAAGATCTTCATCCATCTCCTGCAGTCGTTTTATTCGCTCTATTAAACCATCGTCGTGTATTACCATGATCGGATGTCGACTGAGAGCATCTACATGCCTCATCTGTGTGCCAGGGCGATGTTCAACAGTAAAGTCATATTCTTGCAAAAGTAAAATCCATCTGGCGACTCTCGTACACAGATCCTTTTTATCCAGGGTTTTCGTAAATGCGTTACAATCCGTCATTAATTTAAATTTAATACCAATGAGATAAACTCTAAACCTTTTCAATGCCTCAATAACAGCTAACACCTCAAGTTCGTAACTTGTATATTTTCTTTCAGCGTCAGAGGTTTTTCGACTCATGTAGTACACGGGATGTAAAAGGTTGTCGTCTGGAGATTTTTGCAATAGCACTGCGCCATAGCCATCGATCGATGCGTCAGTGTGGACTTCGGTTTCAAACTTCTCGTTAAATATGTGTAGTACAGGTTCATTAGTCATGCACTGTTTAAGTTTGTCAAATGCTAATTTTTGTTCATCACCAAATTGGAACTTTACGTTTTCTTTTCGCAGATCGTTGAGTGGTTTCGCTATAAGTGCGAAATTCGGTATAAATTTTCTGAAATATCCGGCAAGTCCCAAAAAACTTTCAAGTTGCTTCCGGTTCTGCGGTTGCGGAAATTTAATCACAGCCTTCGTTTTTTCTGTACCTGGGAAAATCTTCCTGTCTTCTATGATGTTACCCAAAAATTGAATTCTTCTCTTAAGGAAACTACACTTCTTGAGATTGATGTCTAATCCATAGTCTCTACAAGTCTCTAAAATTCGTTGAAGGTTAACCACAGCCTCATCGTAAATACTCGCGGGAATTATGACGTCATCAACGTATGGTAAGGCGATACCTTCTCTATTCAGTTCTCGGAATATAGCATTTATGTGACGTTGAAACACAGCCGGCGAATTAGAAAGACCAAATGGAACTTTTCGGAATTGGTACTGACCATTGTGAGTCACAAACGACGTATACTTTCTACTCTCTTCATTGACCGGTACGTGAAAGAATCCATTTCGTAGATCTATTGTACTGAATATAACAGCGTTTTGCAAACGATCGAGCTGATCTTCGATTAAGGGTAGCGGATAGTGATCTTTTACTATCACCTTATTTATTCTTCGGTAATCAATACACAATCTAGACGTCGAATCTCGTTTCTTTACCAAAACTATTGGACTGCAAAATTCTGATTCCGACTGTTCGATAATTCCTTCATCCAACCATTTGTCAATTTGGTTTTCGACTATAGTCCTTTCTTGGAATGGTAATCGTCTGGGACTGCAAAATATAGGCGTTTCGTCATTAAGTATAAGTTTCATCTCCACGTTGGTTGTCTTGCATTTGTTAGGCTTATACTTTGAACCATATTCGTCACTTTCCTTATTCTTTCTTTTCCAGCAAATACGTCAATGTCCAATTCTATTTCATCACAAGCATCCATTACCATTATACTGTGTACCTCTTCTTCTTTTTCCCGTTCCTTGTCCTCTATTTTCTTGATCTTCAGGCAATCTGGAGTTATTGTTATGTTGGCTTGTCTACAAATATCATTTCCAAGTATCACTTCAACGTCGCAACATGTATTTGGAACAACATGGAATGTCAAATTATATTCCTCGCTATCTAATATAATTTTGGAGTTGAAATTTCCTGATGGTTTAACTTTATTTCCTTTCGAGTTCATACCAAATCCTACTAGATGGAAATTCGTTTTATTTAGCTTCGGTCTATTCAACATATTATACACCTTCTCGGACACAACATTAAATTTACTGCCAGTATCGAATAGTGCTGACCAACTTTGGTCTCCAAATCTGATTTCTTTCTTCATTATATCATGAGATACCAATCGGCGTACATTTGCAGCTTCTTGTTTTGACGGACAGTCTTTGGAAATATGACCAAAAGTGTTACAATTAAAACACTTGAGCCCTTTTGTCTTGTTTTTACAGGCATTCGACATGTGCCCTTTTGCTCCACAATTAAAACATGTCATATCTTGTTTGGAATTCTTAACAGTTTGCTTGTTAGAGTTGACTGTGTTCTGTTTTGCTTCACTTGAGTTTCTGTACTTCATCCACATATTCTCGTAACATTTAAGTTTTGCTTTAAACTCTTTCAAACTTGTTGCACCGTAAAGAATCGTTTTATTTGAAGTTGAATCTCGTATACCATCTATTACGTATTGTATTAAAGCACTGTCTTCAACTAGTCCACGCGAAGCAAGCTCTTTCATGTTCAAAAAGTATTCGTGAACATTCTCGTCTTTGTTAATTTTACGTTCAGCCAGTAGTCGATGTAGTTGTGCGCTATTCAAGTCAGTTCCAAACTCGTCTATGAGGGATTCCTTAAGTTTTTGCCACGATGTAATACCTCGTTCACTCGACACAAAAAGTTTAGCCAGACCTTTTAGTGATTTTTTCCCAAAGATGTACTTTTGGAAATCATCCCAGCCCATTATGACAGCTGTTTCCTCAAATTCTTGAATCCAGGATCTAATGGATAAAACTCCACTGCCATCAAAAGGTCTAATTGATTCCTCAATATCACGAAAATTCATAGTAAATCTTGGTACGTTAAGATTCGTTGCATATTGCGTCATTCTATACTCATTAGTTTCATTTTTGTTTACATTTTCGTCTGCCTTTTTGATCGAATTTACTTCTCTGTCCAACATTGCTCTCGTTTTCTGTTTACACTCGTTTGTAGCATAGTTTTCTGCGCCCACATAAACTTCATCATATCCTAGAGCATCTTCATTATCGTCAGCAACACATACATTGTTGTCGTTATTCGGCTTTGGTACCATTGTTCGATCCTTTGTTTCACTCGTTTCAGAGACATCCTCATCATCGGTTTGATAATCATCGTCTATGTTCGAAGAACTTAACAAGCAACCTTTTTTCAAATTCGCGAAAATGTGTGGGAACAAATCGTTAACGTCGTATGCAATTCCCAACATGTTGCAAATTGACACCAGATCTCCTGCGTTCAAATTCTGTCGAACATATTCTGCCTTCTCCTTATACTCGTCCGTCGTTTCGTCGTATTCAAACCCTTCAAACACTCTCAGACGTCCTCTGTTTCCACGATCCCCTTCGCAACCATACACAAACATGTGCAAAGCAACAACAACAGCTCGTTTGGCAACAGCCAAATTATTGCGAATTGTAACAAAATCACCAAGTGCAGCCATTTCGACGGTTATTATGTTTGTTTTTACTTCGTTAGCGTTAGCGCGTCGTTGTTTTCTCTTAAAATTGTCTTTTATATTCTCTTCTCAGTTCGTCTATTTTTTCGTATGAAGAAACTAACCGTTACGTTTCTCCTATTTTCAATGTTCGTCGTCGTCACGTCGTTTTCATTTATTCATACACATACATAGTTGTTTGGTTCATTCGTCGTTTAATTCATTCTATCTTCAAATTACTTGTAAATTTACTTTTTCAATCGTTTATCCACTTTACAATAAGACATCCATTTTTCTCATGTCTATACAAAATCACTTCCTTCGTTTTTCTCCGTAAGTAACGTCTTTTTTCTTTCTTTTTTTTTATCCCGGTTGAGCCCCCAAATTTATGGTTTTTATTAATTTGAACAAAATAGTTTTATTTATTTTAATTCAGGTTTTATGTTTATTTATAAAATAAAGTAATTTAGATAAAAATAAATGTATGATGAATAAATGAAATGATTAAAATGATGTTTTGCCGAAGCACGTCTTTACAGTTTCGCGTCGTCGTTCGAACTAACCTTAAGTATGAGTGTGATACAAGAGCATACCAAATTTTCTCATCCTACATATATGTCAAATAAATCCTCATAAAGTAAATTATTATTTGTATTTCCTGCTTAGTTATGTACGCACAGCTGATGACAAAATAATAAACTTCTCATATTTAAAAGATCAAAACCGGAAAATTTATTATATGGGGGTTTGGTATTTATAAAGTCCATCTTCGAGCCTGACAGCATACATAGACCCAGGAGGGACAACCCATCATGACTAAATCGTAGTTGTGGATTATGCTAATATTAAATAAATGTAGTAATGAGTAAAGGCGCTAAGACGAATTTATCGCTTTTCTCTCCTGTTAAATTGTAAAATATGGACTTATTGCTTTGACGTGTTAAGTCAGCGATATGGGTTCATACTTAAAATTATTACCTTGTTTACCTTCTGAGGATCAGTGGCGAGATCCGAAACTATAGTCTTCCTTGCCTTACCCCTTGGAGAACAATCCCATTCTTTCCCCACTAATAAATAGTTTTTTTATATAAAAACACAAACTGGGATTACTCTTGACTATTTTGCAGTACCAAAATGCAAATAGCATCCCAAATAACCCGCCAACACTACTGAAGTTAATAAGTCCTGCCTTCAGATTTTCTCATTGAAAAGTTCAAAAAGGAAAGAAGATAATTAGCAAATATAAGGAAATATTCATAAACAAAGTAAATATTAAAATAATTATAATTTATAATAATTTTATTTCAATATTTATATAAAGTCTTATTCTATATAGCCCGTATAGAATAAGACTTTAGATAAATATTGAAATAAAATTATTATAAATTATAATTATTTTAATATTTACTTTGTTTATGAATATTTCATATTTGTAGAAACTACGATTTATTTGAAGGGCTTTGCTATAATCCGCAAAGTGTATTTATGCACAGAAGAATTGATTATTTTTATATATAATTTATTTCATAAACAAGAACCTAGCCCAAAGGGCCATGAGCGATTCCAAAAACTTCTTTACATGGACTACTCCAAAAGCTTAAAATTAACAGTATATCACTTAATTATATCATAACCAACAATACATGAACTACTCCAAAATTTCAGCTAAAATAACTTTTTTAATAACAATTTTTGTATAATATTAAAAAATAAATATGATGACATTAAGTACTCGTACTCGATATTTTGTAAAAATTGTTACAAAATGTTGTCTTTTTATACAAAACGCCAGTAAAAGAAAGTGAATTGAGAGATCTAGTTTGAATCAAAGTCTATATAAGGTCGGCCAGAAGACCTATAAAAGGTCGGCCAAGACCAAGACCAAAACACAACACAATTTATAATTTGATAAAATAATTTAGTTGGAAATGTTCTTTAAAATCTGAAAATAGTCCAAATGTGCATTAAAAAGACGATATAAATTAAAATTGAATTGAATATTGACAAAATATTAATATTGTTACGTTCTTGGACTTCACTTAAATCCCGTGTAGACGTTGTTTTATTTCCCGATACAATTCGTACCAAATAAAACGCGGGTTCGTTCTGATTACGATTATTACAATGATTTTATTCACACAACTTTACTTTGCACTTTACTTAACACGACGGTTTCAATTCGCGATCTGATTCACAACTGACTCACTGCCTTTCCATTTCCCCTATTTATATGAGCCTTGCTTGTAGCTACAGAAGTTTCTAGACGATCTGGTAACACCTAGATCACGAACAATCTACCAATGCAACAAACACACATACAAACTTACATTGAGTAAACAATAACAACAACACATACAAACTTACATTGAGTAAACAATAACAACAACAAATATACAGGTGAGGGGGTAACAAAGAAAGAGGAATTAAGCGATCATCAATGATGACGTTTAACAAGAATTGTACGTCAACAAAAATAGACAATGAAAGAGGAAATGGAAGGATGTAGAAAAATCTATACAGTAGTTGTTGTTGTGAAGTTATTCAAATAAACTGCGTAGTAGAAATTTACGTTACAATTCAAATTCTTAAATTAACGGAATTCATCTAAAGTAACTTAAATCTAAATTTATATTCGTAACATTGCCCCCCGCTTAAGCCTGTTCGTCCCGAATAGGCACAGTTCCCGTTCCGTAGGGGGTCAGCCGCTCCAAATGTACAACTTTCATCTTCGACCTGGGACTGTCGCTCCTCTGGATGCGGTAAACGACGTCATTTATTTTCGTGACAATCCTGTAGGGTCCTTCCCAGTGCGTTTGCAATTTGGGGCATAGTCCTTTCTTTCGTTGTGGGTTGAACAATAGTACCAGTTGCCCTTCTTGAAACCCATCGGTATTTGCCGCTCGATCGTACCTTGCCTTCATGCGGTTGCTAACCATTTTTATTCGATGTCGGACTGCATCGTGGACTTTCCTAAAGGGTTTTGACTGCCTCATCTTGGTTCACATCGTCGTTTGGGGTAGCACAGAATATCAAATCGTCAGGTAGCTTTAACTCATTTCCGAACAGAACTTTGGCTGGGGTCCGGGATGTGGAATCATGAATGGCCGATCTATAAGCCAGTAGAAACTTGGGGATATGCTCATCCCAGTCTCGTTGACCGCTGTCCACCACTTTCCGTAGATGTTCTTCAAGGGTGCGATTGAATCTTTCCACCATGCCATCTGATTGTGGATGTAGGGGCGTCGTTCTGGTTTTCTTGATTCCGTAGGAGTCACACATTTCCTTGAAGATCGCCGATTCAAAATTCCTACCTTGATCGGAATGAACCTCAGATGGAACACCATAGCGACAAATCCAATTTTTGCTGAACACATCCACAATTGTCCTGGCTTCTTGATTTGGGATAGCATAAACCTCTGGCCATTTACTGAAGTAATCCATGACCACTAAGACATACCGGTTCCCAGAATCGCTTGTTGGGAACGGTCCAGCTACATCCATTGCGATTCTTTCAAAAGGGGCTCCTGAATTATACTGCTGCATGTAACCTCGACTCTTCCGTGTTGGACCTTTAGCTCTTATGCACCTTTCACAATTGGCGATCCAGTCGGCAATGGATTTTTGACAGCCGACCCAGTAGAATCTCTGCTTCACCTTTTCAGCGGTCTTTGCTATGCCAAGATGTCCTCCACTTGGCCCATCGTGAAACTCCGACAAGACATCTCTTATTTTGGAGTTTGGGACGACGATCAAGTTCCGGTGAGATTTACCGTCCTCACTTCCCCATTTGCGATATAGGCAACCATCTTTTATAAGTAGACTGTCCCACTGGGCCCAATAAGATTTTAAAAGAGGGCTTTCGAAGGTAATTTCTTTGCGACTAGGTCGCTTGCCCGTTTCTATGGCCGAAATTATTTTGCCCAGAATGGGATCTCTTCGTTGTTCCGTCGACCAATCTTCTCCCGACTCAAACTGCAATCGTCGGACATCCACGATATTCTCTTTGCACTCAGCCTTTGAGCAGTGGCTGTATTCTACCTTGCATGGCCGACGAGACAGGGCATCAGCATTACCGTGTTTTCCGCCTTCTCTGTGCTCGATTCTGTTTAACGGTGACTCATTGGTGGACTGTTGAGCCATTCTTCTACCATCTTTCGTTGGAGGTGGTGACGATGACCTGGATCGTTTGCGCTTAGCTCTGCATTCGCGCGCAATATGACCTGCTTTATCGCAGTTGTAGCATCTAACCCTGTGCTTAGTCATCCCTACAAACTTTGTTTCTTCTATTACCCGCCTCATGGCGTCCTTGATCAAGTTAACGAGATATTTGTGTTCGCAACATTCGGTCTCCAGTTGGCTAATCTTGTGGGTCTGGGGCTTAACAATCATTCTTGCCGTCTCTTGGGCAAGGGCAAAAGACACAGTTTCGGCAAACGACGGTTTTGGTGACGCATATGTTGCACATTTAATCTCAGGGTCACGTATGCCATTCACAAAGGTTTCGATTTTCATACGGTCCAGCAATGGGTGATTCTCTCCTGGATACGACATTAGCACCAAACGTTCCACCTCAGCTGCAAAGTCTTGTAACGTCTCGTTTGCCCTCTGTACTTTTCCCCTTAGTTCCATAAGGTAGATGTTTTGTTTATGTTCGCCACCGTACTTACGTTCCAGTGCAGCAATAACATCTTCATAGTTGTTCCTAGAAGCGACAGGAATACTCTGTATAACATCAGCAGCACTGCCCTTCAATGCCAGAAGTAGTGCAACCGCTTTGTCGCTGTCGTTCCACGAATTTCTAGAAGCCACTGTCTCGAACTGTAACTTGAAAACATTGAATGACGTAGAGCCGTCGAATACAGGAGGTCTGATTTTTAGTGTGTTATCAGGAGCTCGCACCGGACCACCTTTAATTTCCAGTTCCGAAATTTTCTTTTCCAGATTCGTAAACCTGTGGTCGTGGGCCAGAAATTTCTCGTCAACCGACTGCACTTTCTTATCCAAATCTTTAATTTGGACCTCCACGGTTTCCACTCTCCTTCCAATAACTTCTGTAATGTACTCGAGTTTCTCGTTCGTTATTCTCGAATTTTCTTCGAACATTCGTCTGGTGTTTTCTTCTAAGTTTCTGGAATTCTCTTCGAACATTCGTCTCGTGTTTTCTTCTAACATTCTGGAATTCTCTTCGCTCCTTCTGAAATTTTCCTCAAACATTTTGGCCAGCATTTCTCTGAAATCGTCACCCCTGGCAGCTACTGACGAGACTTCCCCACCGTTGGATTCGCCCATTTCCGATAAATCCACTTCATCCTTACTGTCAAACTCATATGTATCGATGTTCATACCACGGCGCTCGAACTCATCCAACAGACGTTTTTGTAGTTCAGCCTTGTTGCCAGTAGAGGACAATTCCAATTTATTGAGCTCCTTCTTTAAGTCTTCCACTCGTAGATCCTTAAACTTCATCGTAGTATTATCGTAATCCCACTTCTGACACCAATTGTTACGTTCTTGGACTTCACTTAAATCCCGTGTAGACGTTGTTTTATTTCCCGATACAATTCGTACCAAATAAAACGCGGGTTCGTTCTGATTACGATTATTACAATGATTTTATTCACACAACTTTACTTTGCACTTTACTTAACACGACGGTTTCAATTCGCGATCTGATTCACAACTGACTCACTGCCTTTCCATTTCCCCTATTTATATGAGCCTTGCTTGTAGCTACAGAAGTTTCTAGACGATCTGGTAACACCTAGATCACGAACAATCTACCAATGCAACAAACACACATACAAACTTACATTGAGTAAACAATAACAACAACACATACAAACTTACATTGAGTAAACAATAACAACAACAAATATACAGGTGAGGGGGTAACAAAGAAAGAGGAATTAAGCGATCATCAATGATGACGTTTAACAAGAATTGTACGTCAACAAAAATAGACAATGAAAGAGGAAATGGAAGGATGTAGAAAAATCTATACAGTAGTTGTTGTTGTGAAGTTATTCAAATAAACTGCGTAGTAGAAATTTACGTTACAATTCAAATTCTTAAATTAACGGAATTCATCTAAAGTAACTTAAATCTAAATTTATATTCGTAACAATATTTTCGTTTTGACGTTTAATATACGGGCATGTTCTGTTATTCAATTCAACGGCAGATGTGTATCGAACACACGCCGAGGTGTTCTGTAACACACTTTACACCCATTTGAGGTGTATTCTTTACACTTACATTTTCATAGTGAGAGTCGGGTGTATTAATGTTTTTGTATATAAAAGAAAATCTTTTTTGAAAAAAAAGCCACATGATGATATATTAATATGTTATTATTGTATATAATCACAAAATAAGATAAAACGCCTTTAAAAATCAATTTTAAATAGATACTTAGGTTTGTGTTGCATTTATTCCGAATGTTATATGCGTGGAAATGGCGTTGTTGTACTGTGCTGCTTCCGGAGCCCATGTTGATGACCAAAAACTGAAGTAGCATTCATGAATGCTAGGGTGTAGTAATGCCTCAAGTGTCTACTGGCGACAAAAGTGAGATCGGCATGTATGACTCACCTTTGTTGGCGTCTTGTCTAGCTTCAGTTGCGGGTGGCTAACGACATGTTGAGGACTTTAGATAGGTATTCTACTCCTGGCTCATCAAGCTGCACCATGGAGATTCCAGAATGGTGCAATTGGAATGCTAATCCTCTACCCCTCGTACGATCCTTTCCTATGACGTTGTATCCGTCAGAACTTTGTAGACTGCAGAATTTGTTGAGCTTTGTTTCCTGGATCGCGGCGACCATGATGCTTCTTCGACTCATAAAATTCACAATGTCGTTGATTTTTCCTTGTAATCCATCGCAGTTGAATTGGAGAAATGAGACATTACCAGGAGTTGTGACAGCAATGTGCGGTGTTAGCGGCTGCGGTGCAAAATTGCTGCTGCGGAGATTACGGGAGAATCATGCAATCCGAAGACGCGACGATGAGGACCGCGGTTATGACTGTACCGGCTAAGGCCGAGCAATTCTCCGCATCCGTTGCATCTCACCGATATAGATCAATGATGGATACTGTTGCGATAAACTGAGCAGAACCATGGTCCCGGCACGGACCAAATGAATCCGGAGCCAAAATCCCGGGTAATGTATCTCCCAAGTTGAAAAAATACACGAACATGCACTTGCTGGGTTGACAGCCCTTGGTCGAATGTCGGTCCTTCCGAGCCAATCCGGTGCATAGAACCGGCCGTCGTGGGATTGCCTTTACTGAGTTAGGTCTGGAGCTGTTTGCCGAGCAGAAATAGCTCATCGATAGGCATTGCAACAAAGAAAAAAAAAACATAAGTTACAAACTTAGCATCAAACCCAGAACTAAAAAATATAACCGCTTAAAATAAAGATCAGGATTATAATTACTACTAAAAATTAACTAAATGTAAAGTATTAAAAATAAAATTGGAATTAAATGTAAATATTAAGTTGTTGGCAGAATTAAAAACTAATAAAGTAATTGCCGAAAGACAGAAGTACTAAATACATTTTTGCTTATAACTTTGGTTTGGATTGGCCGATGATTACCAAAATTTCAGAGAATTTAAATTAAGGACTGTAGTATCTAAAACGTAAAGAATTTTAAAACATGCTAAGTCGACTTAGCATACTATGGTTCGGAGGCGTCGAATTGTGTACCCAAGGAGAAAATAGAATGCTAAAATATAAAAGGACTTGTCTGAAAGTACGCACACGGTTTACGTCTGTATGTCATAGGAAGTAAATGAAAATGTCTCAAATATGTAGGCAATGAATTATATGATCTAGCAACTCTTACAAAAAACGACCTTTCAAGATGAGAAGTTAATTTAGTTAATTCATTAACTAAATACAATGGTTCTTGGTATTAAACTACTTTTTAAACATGAAGCATAGAGCGTAAAGATATAAAATTAAAAAAAAAATGCAGCCAATAAATTCACAAACATTATTAATGCCATTACGAAGTCTGTTTCAGATGATATCCATGTTTTCTTTACGCGTAGATTTTTTGGATTGGAAAGCTTGGAGAATACAACGTTGCAATCTATCTCAATGTGGATCTCATCCAATGGCCTTGAAATTAATTGGAATAACATGGAAGCTATTTTGTTCAATTGTTTTGTAGTGCATCTACGACTAATATTTGTGTTAATTCCTTTGTAGTTAGTATATTGAATGTTTCACAATTTCTTGGCCTGTCGTTTGACAGGTTTGTTGAACATCGTCTCCTTTTGTGTCATTGTAGGATTGTGAGGAAAGTTAATTTGCCATGTATAACAAGTTCATATTATGTAGGTCCGCTCGGAATTTCTTTCTTTATGCTTTCTTTCCACTTTGATTTTCTTGACGGAAGTTCAGTAAAATGCATTGGATTGGGTTTAAGGAATCTGATTACATTTGTTGTTTATATTAAAGTTTTTTAGTACTACTGAATATTATGTATTCTGAACCAATATTATTTTGATTATCCATTCTTTGGATATTATTGTTCCATAGTTAATATAAGTTATTGGTCACGATGGATTTTTTATATTACATAATATATATATATATTTTAAACATTAACAACAGCTGTTAAAGTTTACTGAATAGGGATATATTTCTCTCTTTTCTTTTACTGAAGTTTATAATAGTATAAAGACAAAATTTAGTAATAGTTTGTAGAAATTGTTACGAGAAAAACATCCAGTAAATAGATGTTCCTCAATTGTTATCGTTTTATTTATATTTAATTGTTAAAATTATTGGATCAATTATGGAGCGGCCCGACAATCATATATTATTTAATTAAAGATCGTTTTTAAGATACCAACTGACTCGATAAACGTCTTGCCATTTTCAGTTAGTAGACCTGCAGACCTACATCATCATATAAAGATGAAGTTGTACAAACACTGTGACAAGAAAATTTCGAACATATTATATATAAATGTTTTTTACGATTTATTTTTCAGTTCCCTACTACGAACGGTACAATGGTGATGAACATAACATTGTCCAGTTCCAATATTCATCAAAGCAACATGAGTGGAGGTTCTATCGATTCGCCATCATCGCCATTTGGAAATGAAGCATTTACTTTCCAAGACGTTCCATTATCAGAACTAAGTAAAGACACTCTAAAGCAGCTATCTGATCTGTTAAATTCTAAAAAAATTTTGCGGTCTGAAGAGGGTTATGATCGTGATTGGAGAGGTCTTGCATATTTGTCAAACCAAAAATACTTATGCGATGAGAATAGTAATAGTGGAGATGACCCAATGAGTAAAGTTATTCAACTTTGGTGCAAACATTGCCCAAAAACTGCAACCTTTGCGAATCTTGAAAAATTTTTAGGCATAATTGATCGCTGGGATGTCTGTGATGACATATATGAAAATTTGGGTAAGCATATATGGAATTACATTACATATATTTAATATTTTTATTATTTTAAATAGACAATTTGATTATTGAAAGCATATTTTATGGATTCGTCCAGACTATAGATCCCTATGTCTGATTATATGTGTTTTTATCACGGCTGATTATTTTGTTTTATTTAGCTATTTATAGTCGTTATGACCGAAAATACTGAATTGTTAGAGTATACAAAGTTGTACATATTTATTCATATCATATTCCATAAAAATTAAAAAAAAATCTATATTTTGATTAATTTAAGGCTGCTTGGTGTTGCACAGTGTTCGCAAATAAACGGTACACTATCGTAGTGTACCGTACCAGGTACACTAACACTAAAAGCGTTAGTGTTCCGGTACACAAAGACTAATAAATATTTTAGTGTTACTGTTCCGGAGCACAACGAAATTCGTAGTGTACCGCTGTCGGAGCACTAAAAATCGTAGTGTACCGCGGTCGGAACACTAAAAATCGTAGTTTTCCACTGGCATTTTGGCTGATAACACTGTGCGACGCATAAAAGGACAGCCAATCCTCAACCGATTTACAAATATATATCTTGTTTGAAAGGAAAAATTCTACTCTTCGAAAGAAAAAAGAATAATATAAATCCGTTATAAAGTAAATAAGTTATTCGCATTTCAAATTGAAAATCTATAAAACCACGTTTTCTCTACATTTACCGTTATAAAACTAATTTTCGAAGTGACCCAGAAAAACCAAAGGTATTTTCGTGGTCCTGGGATTCCAACTAAACAGAATTAGAGCACAGTGTAATCGATTGCGCTGATCGGAAAAATGTATTGCATAAGACTATTTGTAAAAAATCATAAAAAGGATGAATATTCCAATAATGGATATATGAAATTCGTTTTTTATATGGTACCTGTATGTGGTTTTGTAATATTTATCCCAAAATCATAAAACTATTTTTTTCATATTCTCGTAATTTGTACACTTCTTTTCATGAATAAGTAGGCAATAGTTCAAATGTTCGCGCAGTTAAAAACAACACACAAAAATATCATAAACAAGTAAACACACACACAGCGAATGAATGTGTAGCAGAAAGTGTTGAGCATGTGTGGCATAACAAAATATTTGCACAAAAACTATTGAGTTCACAAACGTGTGTAGTTATTCTTTTTGCCGTTTTGAGCATTCGCGAATGTTTGTTTTCATTGTTGTGAGCTTTCACTTGTTTGTTATGTGCGTGCGAACATTCGTTTGGCGAATGCGTTTGGTAAAGAATTTATTTATTTATTATAGTATTAACATTGTAGTAAATACAATGCTTATAATAAAAGTAACTAGCATTGGCTACAATGGCCATCACCTAAATCGGTTGACAATTCTTAATAATTTCATTAAATAGTAATTTTAAGATGACGTATGTAGTTAAATATCTTATTAATATTGGCAGTAGTAGGTGATATTAAAATATTCGTTCCATCGTTGTTGAGGTAGTTGTGGCGGGCTCTGTCGGAAGCGTTGCAAGTTTCTAAAATATGTTGTACTGTGTAGACATTTCCACATTTGGGACACTTGTCAAAACTTGTGTTAATGAGATGTTGGTATGTGGCAATAGTATGACCCATTCGAAGTCTCGAAAATATGTGCACTTGCTTTTTAGGTAAATTGGTAGGATAGACGGGCACTATGCAGTTGGGATTTATTTTGTTATAGTGCACATGTTCAAATAAAATGTGTTGTTGTTTAGCATTTTGTTTAAGTTTGTGTTTTATAAATGTTTTTTAAATCTATTTTTTCGATTATTCCATCTAACAACACTGGAGCGGTGCAAGCGTATTTTGCTGCTTTATCGGCGTTTTCGTTTCCTTCAATTCCAACGTGACCAGGTACCCAGAAAAGTTTTATGTAGTTGTTCTCTGTTAGCAAATCCCGAATATTGTTAATTGAAGCCCAACTGTTGTTTGATGTGCATAACACCGATTTTAGAACCGATAAACTGTCGGAAATAATTATTGTTTCTTGTTGTGAATGAATTGCAACAGCAACGTACACAGGATTTCATTTCGGGGGGGGCCCGGCAGTACAAAATGAAAAAATTCGCTGTTGCAAACATAAATTTACTGTGAAAAAAATTCATTTCGGGGGGGGCCTGGGCCCCCAGGGCCGCCCCCTGCATACGTCCCTGGATTGCAATATTGATAGCTTCTATTATGCCAGCAGCTTCGGCCGTGAAGATAGATGAAAAATCAGCAAGGGTTTTAATGGATAGAGTATCGCCATTGGAATCAACAACTGCGTATGCGGAGACTGAGTTTGTTTTTGAGGCATCAGTGTATAAGAATTGCCAAGACGAGTACAGCGAGGAAAAAAATCGAAAATAGTGTGCATATATTTCGTTTGAAGTTCCACTTTTTCCTAGAATGCTGAGAGATGTATCGCACGATTTGTCCGAAAAAAGCCATGAAGGGCATTTAGGTTTAAAGCATGTAACCTTATCCCTAAAGTTTACTATGTTGTTCCTAATAGAATAGTAAACAACTGATGTTTTTTTAGGTTTTCGTTTTGCTTTTAAAATTTTCGATACATCAGTGTTAATAACGGAAGACTTGGATGACAGGATTTTAGGCAATAACATATTCCTAGACTCGAGAATTCTATGCTCGAGAGAAGGCAATCCAGACTCAATCAGTAAGGTTTTGATGGGAGTAGTTCTATATGCGTATGTGCTGGCCCTGATGCTATCGTGGTATACGGCTTTAATAAGTTTCAAAGTTGAAACAGGACTGTCCCCAAAAAGGTACAAACCGTAGTCAATTTTGCTTAGCACCAATGTTTTTACCAAGTAAGTAAGGGTGTTAATGTGGGCGAAACTTTTATGTGAAATATACTTTATAATGTTTAATCGGGGTATAAGGTCCTTTTTTAATTTAAGTATGTGTTCGTTCCACCGTTAGTTTTTTTGAAAAATTATACCCAGGATTTTAAGCTTCTTGACGTAGGGAATGCTAACACCGTTTATTATTATGTTGGGTTTACAGCTATGCTTCCGACATATATGTATAATTGAAGATTTTGTAGGAGAAATTTTGGCCCAAGTGTTGATATCATTTATGATGTTAGAAAAATGAATGTTGGCAGCATGGTTATCTTTATCAGAGCTCAGAATGTATAGGTCGTCAGCGTAAAGGCAATGATATATATTGTAGGATATTTGTTTATGATGTTGCTGATTTGATTAAAGGCTATTTGAAAAAGCACTACCGACAGTGGTGACCCTTGAGGTATTCCATTATTCATAGCAAACTGGTTTGAGTAATAGTTATTGATTTTGACTTTAAAAGTGCGCCCGGTCAAAAATGACGATGAAATTTAAAATTTTTCTTCCAACTCCCCATGATTTCAGCGAATCTAAAATTATATGTATACCGATGCGATCAAATGCTTTTTCAAAGTCTATCGAAAGTACTTATGTGTGACTTCTTGCAGATATGGATTTGGATGCATAGAAGTCAATTTGTAAAAGTATGTCTGTACAACCTTGGTTTGCTTTATAAGCAACTTGATTAATAGAAATTAAATTACGAGCATTCAAAAACCATGATAAGCGGTTAGAGATTATCCTTTCCAACAGTTTAGACAGGCAGGGAAGCAAAGATATAGGCCGGTATCCGGTTAGAGATTATCCTTTCCAACAGTTTAGACAGGCAGGGAAGCAAAGATATAGGCCGGTATCCAGAAAACTCCGTTTTACTTTTATTTGGTTTGGGCAAAGGAACTATGACTGCCGATTTCCATGCATGGGGGATGATTCCGGTGTCAAAGACTGAGTTGTAAAAAGACAGTAATTTATGTTTGCTTTTGTTAGATAGATCCTTCAACATGGGATACGAAATATTATCGCGTCCTGGCATGGTGCCTTTAACTTTACCAAAAGCTATTTGCATTTCATTAAATACAATTTCTCCCTCAATTGTAGCAGCTTGCTTATTTAAGGCAGGATTAGAAAAGGATGCAAGATTAAACTTAGCAGCGCAAGACTCCGGAGAAAAGTTGCTATTTGATGATTCCAAAATGGTTGGCTATATCGATGGGATCGTTGATACATATGTCATTGGATTTCATTGACGTGAATAGGTTGAAGTTACCTTTTCTAGATATTTTGTTAATTTTATGCCGCACAAAGCTGAGAGGTAGATCAGGGCTTATAGTTTTTGTGAAATTATAAAAACACAATGCCTTTTGTTTTTTAGATACAAATCTAAATTTAGCGTTGGCCTTTTTGTATAAAAGAAGATTATCGCGTGAAGGAGCCTTTTTAAAAGCACGATAGAGGCAAACCTTGTTCTTGCGTAGGGTGTATAACTCCTTATTCCACTATGGAACAGATCTTTTGGTTGTATGTCTTGTAATTGTGATACTAAAATTGTATTAATAATTATTTTGTGATTGTTGGGATTTCCGATAAGAGTGTTGGCATCTAGTGAAGTGTCAACACCCATTTTAAAAGAGTCCCAATTTGCCTTTTTGAAATTATGTTTATAAAATGGTTAAAACTTTGCGACAGGTGTACCAAAATCAATGTTGGTGATTATTGGAAAATGATCACTACTGTAAAGGTCATCTAAAGTATGACTACTTGCCATGGATAAAGGGAAGGCGAACAGCATATTATGTCTTTTTCCATTTTCCAAAATAAGCCCCCTTGAATTACTTCTGTTGGATACCCAAACGATGTTCCAGCTATTTACATCGCCAAGTAAAATTATTGGAGTTTTTATGTTGATGAATAGGTAACCGCAAAGGTTTCGTTGTGATGGATGTAAATTGAAATAATGGTAAATTTTATTTTTAAAGAAAATTTCAATTGCAATATTTAATATTTTGGAGTTATTTAAAATTAATATAGCAACTCCGCCTTTTGCCGAGATATTTTCCCGTTTATTTGCTGCGTATGGATTGAAATTACGAGGGGCGATCGGTTGTGAATTGTATGATAAATGTGTTTCTTGTAAAGATATGAAATGGGGATTGTGATCTTTTAATAATAGTTGAAGATCGATGTAATTATTAATTAAACCTTTTATATTCCATTGAATGATACTAAACTGATTCATTGGGGAGATATAAAGGAATAAGAGTGATGAGTGTAGAAAACTCTATTCAGACATTGATGAATCTTCAAGATTGTCTACCGCAGATCTTCTTGTAGTTATTTTTGCTGGTTTATTCTTCTTTGTATCTTCTTCATCGGAGATAGATACATTTGTTGAAAAGATATTTTCATGTGATTTGGTGATATTTTTAATTGACTCAAGTTTGGAGTTAAATTTATTGAGTAATTGTTCTGAGTTTATTGTTGTTTTCGTTGTGATGGTATTTGTTTGGTTGTAATATTTTTACTTGTGCTAGGTTATTCTGCGCTAGCTTGCAGGGTTGTGTGTTTTGGGGATTTTATTAATTTTGTTGGTGTTGTGTGGATGTTGTTGATTGGGGAATCAACGTTAGAGAGATTTTGAGTGTTGGTTAGTTTACTGTTATGTGTTATTCTCTTTTTTCTTCTTTCAATAGCATCGGATAGACTCTCAATTGGTATTTCTGTTGGGTCTATTTTAGGCGTATTTATCAAAGCTTCTTTGAAAGAACATTTATTTGCAATTTTGTATTTGAGTACCATTTTTCTTTGTTGAAATGCTGGACTTTGTTGTTGGTTGCACTATGTTGGTGATTGCAGTTTATACATAACACTTTTGTACATAAAATTGAATCATGCGAAGCAGATGAGCATACATCACAAATGGGAATATTTTTGCAGAATTTTTTTGTGTGACCGAGTTTAAAGTAGCTTTTACACTGAATCGGGTTAGGAGTATATACTTTAACCTTGCAATTTATGATACCAATTTCAACTGTTTTGGGTAGTTCGTATAAATTGAAACTAATTATGTGGGATGGAGTGTTAAATATAGTACCATCCCTGAATTTGGTAATTTTCTTACAGTCGACAACGCCTTGTGATTTCATGCCATCCACTATGTCTTCTGAGGATAGATCAGTCAGCAGATCGCAGTGTACAAAACCTTTAACGATATTTAATGTGCGATGATAACTGCATTCAATTGGACCAATTCCAGCTAGGTATTTGGTTTTTAAAAAACGGTTTGCTTGAGCTTCATTTTTTGTCAAAAAAATAAGATTGCCGTCACGTGTGAAGATGGTTTTTAGAGTGGGTTCCGCAGAAATTCCTTGGATTGCCTTCGATAACAGAAATATGTTGAACGATTTTAGAGTTTTTTCAGTGTTTTTAGTTTTCATTACAATGTATTTGGGGCATGATTGGTTTTTATTTTTATATTGGGGCAAGAGTGGGAAATCTAAGGAATTTCCCAAAGCCAAAGCACCCGTCTTCTGTTTTTTCCTTTTGGGAGATTTAGCACCGCCATCGGGATCTAAGTCCTTATAATAATTGCCCCCAGAGGAGGATGCCATGTCAAGCAGAGTTAATGAATATCACTTAAAAACACTTATAACAGGGAAGTTGTTGTAAAGAGAAATATTTAAACAAGCGCTGAGTTCACAACGAGTGTTGAGAGTAAACTGTGGGTAAAGAATTTATAGCGATAAATGAATTCGTAAAATGATTGTTTTGAATAATTCGAGAGCGAAAATTGCGCTCCCGGATTAATATTGGATTTATAAATTTTGAAAATGTTGATTATTTGTGGGGGATGTACCAGAAGGAGTGGACCCATGGGTCCCATCTTCTGGCTTTGTCTAAGCATGGTAAAAATTATAGGATGTACAAAGTTTGGTTCAAATGGATAATCCGTTTGCATGATATAAAATTAATTTTTTCCACAATTTTGACCATTTTGTGGGGGAGGAGTGGACCGATATTTCCCATCTTCGAACTTGAACTTGGAGAGTTGTCGTGCGCACCAGCCGGCTAGACGGACAGACGATGGGGAAGTCAATTCTCCTCTTCCTCCTGCCAATAATTTGTTTACCCAAAATCAGATGATTTTTTGTATGTCATTGCAAATATTTTGTGGTCAGATTATGCCAAAAAAATATTTGACACTTTTCGTTAAATATTTGTTTTCACCTTTTATTCTTCTAACGCTATTAGATTTATACGCATACCAAATGTGATCGTATTGTTCAGATATTCCCAATCTACTTTCCAGAAATGATGAAATTTAAAACCTATTCTTTTTTTTTTAAATCTGATTCCAAAAAGCTAAATAATTAGTTTATTCATTTGTTTTTATAGTTCATGATGCAAAACTATACCAAAGCAAAATTCAACAGAAAAAAGATGCCGTAGACAATGTCGAAAATCCTGTCGACATCAACGATGATTTCTGCCATGGATCTGACCCAAATGTTTTAACCATTGACGATGTTCAACGTGCAAAGGAAAGAAAACCGCCGCTGATATATGATGCATTTGTTCTATATGCACCTGACGATTTTGCTTATGTTACTGAAATGTTAACGAAATTGGAGGATAAGGATAAGTTTAAGGTAATTAAAAAAAAATCATCAATAAAATTATACAATTTACGTTCTCTTAGTTATGTATTCGAGATCGGGATTTGCTGGCAGGAGTTGGATTCCAGCATGTTGCTCTGACAAAATTGATTGAAGAAAGATGCAGATACTTAATAGTGCTTCTAACAAATGCATTTCTGAGAAGCGCCGAAAATAAATTCTTTGTGGATTATACGCAGGCTTTACAAATCGGTAAGTAGCTGCAAAAAAATGGTGGGCAGTTTACCGCTCCATTGCATTGAAATGTTTTTGTATGGGAATTTATATTTGTCTTTTTTCCAAATAAGAAATATTGACCTTCGTTAGAATTAAAAAATGGAATTCAAAAAAGTTTGTAGTTGTAGATCTATTTTTAATTAATTTTTTTGCAATACATCTGGAATTATATACCAAACATCTATTTCCAGATTTGTGTTAAGGAATAATAAAATTATATCGCCATTATACAGGAAAATAACCTATTAAAGATCCAGTTGGAGGTAAATAAATTGTATTTGCACATGACCTAACATACCATCAACTTCAATCCCACGAAGGCCGGACTGTCAACCCAGCAAGTACATGTTGGTGTATTTTTTCAAATTTATGGCTACATTACCCGGAATGATTGCTCCGGATTATTTTGGATCGTGCTGGGATTGAGACAAACCCCGGGCCATGGTTCTTCTCCGTTTATCACAACAGCATCCGCCACAGATATATCTCTGTGAGATGCAACGGATACGGAGAATGGGTTCAATTCGAATGTGACTACGTTGCTTCATGCTGTGCCCATGCAGTCCCCAGAGAGTCTTCGTCATCACCGCGGTCAACGTCGTCATCGTCTTCGCATTGCGTGACTTCCTCGCAATCTCCGCAGCATGACCAGAGGGGCATGGAAGTGAACAGGTTAGTCGGCGATCATAAGCGGAAAAAGTGCCTAGATCATCTGAAGTGTTGCAACATCAGTACCGGAGTGAGTAAATTGTGGGCGACGAGTAAATTGTGGGCGACAGGCCGATCTCACTTTTGTTGCCAGTAGCTAAGACACTTGAGGCATTACTACTCTCTAGTATTCGAGAATGCTACTCAGTTGCTGATCATCAAGCAGTACAAAACAACAACAGCTTCGCACGCCATTTCCACGCATATAAAAGAAGGAATCAACCAGAACATTCCGTGTAACAGGACAGTTATGGTAGCGCTAGACCTATCACAGGCATTATATGTATGGACGCCAGTCGTACGTCGACTTTAGAAACAGGAAGTCGAATGCCCGTATAGTTAAAGAGGGAGTTCCCCAAGGAGCGGTGATATTTCTGGAACTGTGTAACCTCTATCTTTCTGAAATTCCATGCCCACCGGACGGTGTAGTGATCGTAATGTACGCGGATGATTGTACGATGATGGCGTCAGAACACAAATTGATGACTTTTGCGAGAGGCTGAACCACTACCCCGTGGATATAGCTGATTTTTTCCATACTGTTTACCACATCGAGAGCGGAGATGCGGCTATCTTTGAATGTGTAGGTCGATGGGTCCACAATTTCGACCACCAACTAGAACCGTGGGGTTCTAGGGGTCACATTCGATAGTCGTCCGCGCATGTCACAGTTATTTGCGATAAGATCAGGAGCAGAAACAAGGTTCTCAAGAAGTAGCCATCCAAATCATTACCTAATGGACAGGCACCAACCACCTAGACATGTCAGGAAGGATCTTTATGGTCTGGAGAGAGAGGTCCAAAGGTACAAAAGCGAGACTCTAGATCGATAGGCCCTTCAAGCTGGATTGAGTCGTATTCACACGGTGTGAATACGATCCTCGGCGATCACCCGCCTCCGTGCCTTGGACACGAATTTACGGCGCGGTCAATAATAACTGACCGCATGTGTTAATGGTCCACATGACACGCTACACCTTTTCAACTGCCCAGCCTACTCATCTAACCCCAATTTCACACACACTATAGGTCGCATCCTTTTTGAATTTGGAGTTTGAAGCAGAACCACATTAAGAAGAAATACACAGCAGTATATGCTGCTATAACAACAACAATCGTCATCTTCTGGTATGTTAGATGTACGTAAGAGTTTTAAAACATCGTTATCTGTTGGCGTAATGCATGGTGATTCTCAAAAAAGAGTTGCCAATAATTCTTATTTTGTACAAATTACGAATTCCAGCAATTTTTTTTATTTTATCTTTTTTTACAAATATTTGAATAAAAAATGTTACAATGGTATGTCCGTATGAATTGTGTAAAACGGCATTTACATTAGAACTTTTTACAGGGTTTACCTACTTTATGAGGATTTATTTGACAAGCCTGATTAAGCCTTTAATAATGATTAAATGTTATATGTAAATCCGCTTTGAGATCCGTTCAACCGTTCTCGTGTTTTAGCGAGACTAACGAACAGCAATTCATATTTATATAGATTTATTTAAAAAGAAAATTGTATTCGATTTTATAAGTTCTATATTCATGCAAAAATCTACATTAGAGTATACACACGGAAACGTTTTTCAGCCTAATCAGATGAAATTTGGTTGTTGTTGTTGTAACAGGTTGGCTGTTGACGAAAGTTCTTTCCTGAAAAATGTTGATAGAAAAGAAAACGGAAGAAGGAAAATATATTAATTAATTAATTAGGAATTCGGATTTGAAGAGGGTAGCCGGAGAAATTGTGCCACCTCTATTGGCTTTAGCCATAAGTCTATGGGCAATAGACTCGTAGGCTCGTGAGGGCTTTGCTGGCAGGAGGGACACCTGTTTAGGGTTCCGGGGACAATGCGCTCTTAATACGAGTTGAGTACATTGCTGTAACCGGACCTTAGTTGTGCCAGAATTGAACGGATTTGCCTAGGAAGAAGCCTCTCACTCTCCGAAATTGCAGGAGTATGTTGTTGTAGGACTTTATTGCATCTGTTGCCATTTATGGCATCGGAGACCGCCAGTTGATGCACGGATTTCATCGCGTTGGCAATGGACTATCTGTTGACGTCCGATGGAATGACGTCTTGGATGCCATCACGATAGCGCCTTAAGTCCTGGCGGATGTGTCGCGGAGGTGGATGTGCCATCACAGTGTGATGGTAAGGATGACACGGCAGATAGCATGCCAGCAGGAACTGTCTAGTCAACAATACATTATGTTGCTTGACTGACAGCATCCTGGTCTCCTCATGGAGGTGATCGACGCTCGTCATCTGGACACACCCGGTTGCAATTCGGAGTGCATTATTTTGGGATGTTTGCAATGATCTCCATTGTGTGTCGCTAAGGAAAGAAGTCCAGACTGGGGCAGCATAATTCAGGATGGAACGACCTATAGCCTTATAAGTCGTTACCAACGTTTCTTTATCCTTGCCCCAGGAGGTGCCAGCCAAAGCTTTCAGAACATTATTCCTAGCTTTCACCTTCTGGTTGATGTAATTGGAATGCGAGGAAAAATGAAGGAAGCTATCGAAGACCACCCAAGGATTTTCGTATTATGGACGGTGGGGATGCGCCTACCTTCAACGGAAATGTCAAGTTCTAGATTGACTTTGAAATTTGGTTGTTTTATTTGGTAGAATGAATCCTACTAAAATGATCAATATTGGTCCACTCTTGGATTTGTGAGAAAAGCATACATATTGGATCTAACTTTTATAGTTCATAAGGATATGGATCTTAAATCTGATAAGTAGTATCTGACCACCACCACCAATCCGATCTTTTCCAAATATTTGATACTGACACAAACTCATTTCCCCCATGGAAAATCGAATAGCAGAAAGTAGTTATTACATAATATCTTTAGAAATCGAAATAAGTACTGGCACTTACATTTTTATAATATTAAACATTATCCCGCATAGTTTTATTCCCCGATACTCTGTATCAAATAAAACACAGATCCGACTACGAATTCTACAATGCTTTATTACACGATGTATTTACAACTAACCTACCGCCTCCTACCTATTACCTGATCTACTACCTTCATCTTCGACCTGGGACTGTCGCTCCTCTGGATGCGATATACGACGTCATTTATTTTCGTGACAAACTTGTAGGGGCCTTCCCAGTGTGTTTGCAATTTAGGGCATAGTCTTTTTTCCCGTCGAGGAACAATATTACCAGTTGCCCTTCGTGGAATCCATCGGCATTTTTCGGCAAGTAGAGCCAGTTATAACATCTAATCCTGGGCTTGGTTAGATATGCTAACTTAATTTCTTCTATTTTCGCTTTATGTCGTCCACGAATGAGTTAATGAGAGATTTTCATACGGGAGAGATTTTCACATTAGATTTTACATTAGTACCTCAGTTGCAAAGTCTTGTTTATGTTTCCCACCGTAATTACGTTCCAGTGCATAACATCTTTATAGTTGTTTCCAGAAGCGGCAGGAACATTTTGGTATATTCGGAGACTTGTTGTGAAATTGTATAAAGAATATAATTGTAGACATGCTGCGATTTCAGTTTAAATGAGTTTTTAATGTTTTAGAGATAAATATATTCCTGCCAAAATCATAAACCGGATAATTATGATAATCTCAAACAATACTGGCGGCATGGTTTCAAAACATCTCCTTGAATTCCCCCATACGTGGCAAAATTTTCTGAAAATGTGGAAGAATAATATTATAATGAAATTCCCCTTTCACCAAATGTAAAAATTTCTAGATATTGTTTTTTAACTATTATATTTTATTTTAACATTTCAGAACACAAAACTCGAAAAATTATTCCACTTTTGTATGAGAACATTGACATACCAAGGACTTTAAACATATATACCCATTTACGTTACAGTACGACTTCAATCGGATTTTGTGATTACTGGACCAAACTGGCTAATTCCATACGTAACGTGAATATGACAGCAGAGAACGCCACCAATTCAACTGATTATAGAAAAGATGTGCATAGGTAATTCATTGTAGTAAAATATAAGATATATACGTAATAAAATATGCTATATGTATCAAAATGAAAAAAAAAAATTAAATGTATTAATATGAATGTGAGCTCGAAAATAATTATTCATATATTGTTTATTTTTAGTAATACGACGTTAACACCCAACCCTCCAGTCCTTACAGCCCCTACCCGAAAGGCAGTATGTAACATACCCTTACCAAGTATAGCCATCAACGGACAATCTGTTTCCAATACAGATAATGACCGTGGTGTGAAGAAGGCAGAGTATCCCAAATTTCGTGCGCTGACATTGCGCAACCATAAAAGTAGCCGCTTATCGAATGAATCGTCGGGATTGCGCAACGCTCATTCAACTGGACAATTACATACTTCGTATGAGAACAACAATACCACAAGTTTGTCCAATATTTCTACTACTAGCGAAAAGAAAAAGAAAAACAAGTTTACAAAAATTCTTGGCAAAGTTTTACCACGCAGCAACTCTAGACTGCAACAGCAAACAAACTAGCAATACTAAGTACATTTCTATTTTACTTTATTATGTTAACATGTATTGTTTTTGTTGATGTTCTCTTTTTATTATTAAGAATTCTGTACTTCATTGTTATATTTACGATAACGATTTATTGGAAAATGATTGTTATTGATGTTTTTTTCATTAATAAAAATGTTTATTATTAATACTTTATCAGTCGTATTGTACCGCTTGTACTATACAGAATGAAATGAGTAACATTTCTGACATTGGTATTCAGTAGTTTTGATTTAGCTGCCTTCCACATAGCTACACTTTGTATTCAGCTGCCCAAAATACATTTTTTGTTACTTTTTTTCAGATTCCCATTTAAGATAACAGATCAGAATATTTGCACTTTTCTCCTCTCACTACTTATATTTAGCTGCACAGGGAATATCAAATAAAGAAACATTCGATATTTTTTATATAACGTCGGAAACCACACAAGAACTATTGTTTTTTATGCAATAAACATATGCGTTAAAAACAATAGCCCTTCTGTTTCATTATTAGGTACTTAGCGTTGATAGCGTATTCCAGCTGATTTGATTCCAACGTAATACTAGTGTCAATATGAATATGACAAATTATGTTTTTAAAAACCACCCAACAGGAATATTGGGAACGCATACAATTCGAAATTGTTCTTTATTGAATGCCCTCCCGTATTCAATTTACTCAATCTGCCTGCTGGGAAAGTTTGAGGAAGCAAATCTCTCTTCATGGAATAACACGCAATTCCCTGCATTTTCATATGTGTTACACATAAAAGTGGCAATGGCTCAATTATACGAAAGATTTGGAAGTGATAGAAATATAAATTTGATAGATTTTCATTCATGTTTTTCAATTCTATTTTGAGCATTCGAAAATATTACATTTTCAAAATAAATATAATTTGTTGATAATTTGTTTGTTTGTCTGTCAAATGACGTTGACACTATAACTTATATAACATACAACAACAAATTTTGATGTGGTTGTTGTACAACAACACTTGCTGTTACCTTCTATTATTAAGTGTGTCTGGTTACTTTTCCAGTAACATTTATTCAGTAAGTTCTAGTTCAGAGAGTAAGCCTTTTTTACTCTCTTTTGCGATAATATAGAAAAAATTAAACAGGCAACATTTAGTAAGATTTTCAAATAAACAGCTGATTCAAGAAAACATTTGATTTGCGCCAAAATAAACAACAAACAAAAGCAGAACACAATTATTTGTATTGCACTTAATATTAAAAATAAAATGAATAACAAAAGAAAAATTGATCTGGTATGTTCCCCGGGAACATTTAAGCTTCCTGCAACAATACATTGCCCTCTATCTGGAACTTGCCTAAAAATATATAAGGAATTAGTTTCTAATTTAATAACATTTTGCATTACTTAGGAATTTTCTTCCATTTTCTGTAATTTTTATTCAACTTAACTTCAAATTGAACTTTGCAAATTAAAAAAATGTTTTAAATAATTTTTGTGTTTGGTCAGAAAATAGCTGATCAGAAAATAAGTTCGTTCGTTTACTCAATAATTTGTACGAATTTGTACAAATTATTACAAAATGTTGTTCGTTTACCCAAAAGTCCAGTAAAAGAGAGTGAATTGAGAGAGCAGATTTGACAGTTGTGTTACTGAGTATTTGCAAATTCTTACAAGGAAAATTTACTCAGTAAGAATTTCCTTGTACCATCAGCTGATATTTAATCAGCTGCTTTGTTATGTTTTGTAAACAAACAAAAAAATTTTCTCAAGAAAATTGATTGTTTTGTGAATTTTATTTTGATTTTGTATCATTAAATACCAAAATGGATGAAGAAAACGCAAGTATTTAAAAATAAGGTAATACAAGAGCAATTGGCGAACGATTTTTTAGGTTCCAAATCCAAACAAAAAAGTGTGCATCCCTAACATGTCTGTAAACATCAATCAACATCAATATATGTATTTCCAAATAAATAGTTAAAACTTACCGGTCACAACCCTTTTAAATGTTTGTGGGGAACAAACAACATCAATTTTCCGCTTGTTATCCATTTTTCTAATAAAAATGCTGTTTTTTAGTTTGCGCCAATTTGTTTGTTGTTTTAATCAGCTGTGTCAAAACCATCTTTTTACTGGATGTTGTTCGTTTACTTTTTGCAGTTTTCTCTCTTGAGAAGGAAAAATTCGTATTTACTCTCTGCAAATTCTTACTGAGTAAATATTACTGGGAAAGTAAACGAACGAACCTAATGTCTGAGTTGCAAAATCTTACTGAATAAAATTCCTTCAGTAAACTCCAGCAACTTTATTGTTGTTCAACTGTCAAACTTGCTCTCTCACATGACTCTCTTTTACTGGATTTTTGTGTAAACAGACAACATTTAGTAACATTTGGTAACAATTGTTACCAAATATCTAGTTAACAGACAAAGCTATTATACCATGAAGGGAGTTTCAAAAATAGGTGTGTCTGTAAGTTCTAGTTCAGAGAGTAAGCCTTTTTACTCTCTTTTGCGATAATGCTGAAAAAAGTAAACAGACAACATTTAGTAAGATTTAGCAAATAAACAGCTGATTCAAGAAAACATTTGATTTGCGTCAAAATAAACAACAAACAAAGGACGACCACAATTATTTGTATTGCACTTAATATTAAAAACAAAATGAATAATAAAAGAAAAATTGATCTGGTATGTTCCACTGGAACATTTAAGCTTCCTGCATCAATACATTGCCCTCTATCTGGAACTCGCCTAAAAGCATATAAGGAATTAGTTTCTAATTTAATGAAACTTTGCATTACTTACGAATTTTCTCATAAAAACAGCTGATCCAAAGATGGCTGAGTTTGCAAAATCTTACTGCATAAAATTATTTCAGTAAACTCCAGTATGTTTGTTGTTGCTGAACTGTCAAACTTGCTGTCTCACTTGACTCTCTGGATTTTTGATTTACTGGATTTTTGGGTAAACAGACAACATTTAATAACATTTGGTAAAAATTGTTACCAAATATCGAGTAAACAGACAGAGCTAATGTAAGTATTTATTAGAGTCGTGCCTAAATTCATGCGTAGGCGTACGAATTTATTCACTTTAAAAGTTAAAGGGTCATACCAAATTTATTGCGCTACGTACAAAAATACTCACCTACTCAACTTTTTAGGATTTGATATACGTCCGTATTACCCAAATACGCAAAGACTTTATTTACATTTGTGCCAATTGAAAGCGGCGAAAATGGATGGAAACATTTTTTTTCAATTGATCGAAAAATGTTTACTTTTATAGATACACAATTTTTTTAATAACTGAAATTCTATTATCAAAAAAAAAAAAAAATATTCAAAATACGCATTGTCAATGTTGAAAAATTTCAACTTTATATTTTTATACGCAATGCGTATTTGGGTAACATTTATTGAAATATATGTATTTAACTTTTGAGGTGAATAAAATCGTACGCATACGCATGAATTTAGGTACGACCCAAATACATGTACAAGGTAGATGTATTAGGTAGTCGCATCGACCCAGTTGTTTGTAACATTAAATGTCAAAACAAATTGTTGTAATGTAGAATTTGCCTTAATATATACATAACATAAATATTCAATTTTGAAAATAAAATTAAACCAATTTTGTAAATATAATTGAATTTTTGTGATTTGTGATTAAAGAAGCGAAAAAATGAGTGTTTTTGCATTTGTAAGAACTGGAATGTTACAGGTAACCTTTTTTAGTGTTACTAAAGATGTAGTAAGGAAAATGGATTGGGAAGCAGCTTGTGGAGTTCAATTGCATACGAGATGACAGATACGAAGATACCCTTTTCATTTCATCAACTAATACATCCGATTTCAATGTCATTGACAAATGTATTATGGTTGACTCTGGTCATCTACAAGAAGACGCATTGGAATACGTATGTGGATACGTTATTCGAAAACTTTAATATGAAGATGCCGAATATGTCACCGCCTCTATGAATGTTTATTATTAAAAGAGCCTAAATTTGAAGACCATTTTTGAAATCGAAATGTAATATTGAAAATGTTTTTGACAATTTGCTTTACAAACAATAAAGAAACAATTTTGAAACCATATGATTGTCACTTACACCTTGGATTCCATAAATATTAAAAATATCACAGTCGTTCTAAATTATGGTTGCACTTTGATTACAAATTATTGTAGAAAATGGAAATTGCTGGTTGAGATCTGGCAGTCGATATACGAGCCGTTACAAACTCTTGGATCCACACAAACTTATAAACTCGTTATGTAGGGTATATTAATAGTTTGTTCTGATTGGTTGAATCAAATTTGCCTAAGTTTTCAAATGCTGAGGCGAATAAATTTTTGTTTGCCTTGTTTAAAAATTTTGACATATTATGTTACCAAAAAAGTTGCTTTGTGTAGTAATTCGCCGATGCGACTACCTAATACATGTGCCTTGTACATGTATTTCAATGAATGTCTGAATTTAGATTAGGCGAGTTTACTTGCGGCAAGTTTTTGTTTGCTGGAGAGAGGGGCAAGGGGAATAGAAATTGAAAAAAATTGCTCGTACCGACAATTTTCTGGCAATTCGTTTTGTGTATTTTGTTTGTAGTGTCAATAATTTGAAATACCAATCAAGAATATTTCCAAAAAGAAATATTTTTGAAACCGAATTGCCTTGTATAAACGCATGAAGCAAGTTCAAAAGAGAACGATAATAATTGCCGCTAGTAAACTCGCCTAATCTAAATCAGGACAATGTTACCCAAATACGCATTGCGTATCAAAATATCAAGTTTAAATATTTCAATATTGACAATGCGTATTTTGGATTTTTTGTTTTTTTTTTAATAGAATTTCAGTCATTGAAAAAACTGTGTTTCTATAAATATAAACATTTTTCGATCAATTAAAAAAATGTTTTGATCCATTTTCGACGTTAATTTAGTTTTTTGATTTAATTCGAATCTACATTTATTCAAGAATACGGCTCCATACAAGAATTTG